AAAAAATAAATATGCTTATTGGAAAATTTAAAGGATGAAAAACAATATAAATTGATTATATTTTGCCAATATTTTCATTTTTCTTCCTCTTCATGTTTGCAGAAATCACTGTGAAATTAAGTTCTAAAGCATTTGAGAGTTGATACTTGGTTAATCTGTTTAAAGTAAAAACCTAATACGAAATAATCTATTCCGAAGAAACCTCTTCCCAAACGTACACAATCATTATCTCATTTAGGAGCTAAACAACTTTAGATAACCTCTGAATTCAATTATTCTTTTGATTGATCTAATTTGACGCAAATATCTAGTCGATACGATATGAATGGAAATATTGTTTAACCTACGACTAAGCATGCAATCTTAACTTTCAAATTAAATGTAAAAAAATAGACATGCTTATTTGAAAATTAAAATAATTAAATACAATAGAAATTGATTGTATTTGCCAAGATTTTCTGTTTTTCTTCCTCTTCATGTTTGCCGAAGTCACTGTGAAATTAAGATTCTAAACCTTTTGAGGGTTGATACTTGGTTTTTCTGTTATACGTAAAAACTAATGCGAAAAAATCTATTCAAAATGAACCTCTTCCCAAACATCCACGCCACAACAATATATCATCTTCGTCATCTTGAAATCCAATTCGCAATCACTATCTCATTTAGGAGGTAAACAACTTTAGATAACCTCTGTTTTTTTATTAACCACACAAAATAAATCTACACAGAGCAAATTTCAAATGATTATTATAATAGCATTTACCTTAAAATAAATATTCTTTTCCCTTAATCCTAATCTCATTTACAAAAAAGAAAACCAAAAGTCCAGTAATAATGAGTGACCCTTGGGTTTTGGAAAATGGGCAAAATTGCCCTTCCAACAAATAAGGAGAACCAATCCAAGTGGAAGGTGGCAACAATGAGTTAGAGTGAAGTGCATAATATATTGTGTAGATTAATAATTGATTATTCTCATTCTCTCTCCTTCCATAACTTTCTTCATAACCCGCTCTCTTCACTATAATTAAAAGAAAACCCGAAATTAATTTAATTAGATTTTAATATTTAATAAAATTCGAACTTAATAATTTTTCCCTTTTTAAAATAGAAATTAAAAATTAAAATTTTTCTCTCATTTCTAACAACTTTCAATGTAGTATTACGTTTTGCAATGACATTATCAACGTTTATGAGTAATAAATCATTATTAGTATACCTTATCATTATTAACAATTTCAATATAAGTATCAATTATTTGCAATTATATTATTAACAATTTTGAATCAATCGTTACCGTTTTATATTTTCATCATCAACGTTTATGAATGAATCGTTGATTTACAAAATCTTTACTAATGAGTCACAATATCATTGATTCACAACATTAGCATTATTGATATTATTAGTAATGAGTTCCCAAAGACGACTCACTCGTTTCGATAAATAAACAACAATTGATATTATGATACATCAAACATTGACAGTGTTCACTATTAACAGTACATGACAAAATTGTAAATATTTAAGGTCAATTTTTAAAAGTTTTGAAACTATTAGTAATTATATACTTTCACGTTGTTAACGTTTTGATGAGAGTTGCTTAACATTTTTAACATAAATGTGACGTTCTCATTCCAAAAATTTCATTGAAAATGAAAATTATAATTGCTTTAGGTGAATTTTTAACGATTTTGATACTATGAGTAATGATATTCTTTAACAAAATTTTGGTGGGAGTTGCTTAACGCTTTTAACGTGAAAGTGAAATTGTAAGTTGTAACAACTACGTGATATCATGGTACATTAACAAACAAAATATGATATCATGATATATTAAACATAGATAACGACATTTTAAATTGTTAATAATGTAACTATGTTTTATTAATAATTCACTAAAAATTTGATAATGTTCGGCTATAATGATTAGAACCTTAAATATTTTATTAAGTTAATAACAATTTATATTACACCAACGATGATAACATTACATCAGATTGTTAACAATGAGCCTAAACCCATTAACAAACAACTTTTAATCATTTAGGAGACGATGATAACGTTTTTGTGTTCGTTGAAAATTCATAGCAAAAAAGTTGATAGAATTATATTGGATTGATAACAATGAACCAATAAAAGTTGATGGTGTAATTGTTGCACATTGTTTTATAAATGTTGATAACAACAATAAAAATAAATAATAAATTTTATCAAGAAGTTTATAATCCTAACGTCCAAATTGGAAAACATATGCTCCTAGGTTGATAGAGATGCAACAAACCGTTAATAATGTAACAAAAATTTATCGATAACGAAAACATCAAGAACCAAAATATTATGTTTTTATTGAATACAAAAACATTTTTTCCAACTAAATATAGTGTTTATCAATAATTTAGTGTGTTCTTATTAAAGGTTACTAACACAGTTTTATTGAATACAAAAACATTGATAGTAAAGTATAAAACTAATAACGTCATAGAGAGTTTTATTAACAATTAATATAAAAGTTGATAATAATGATTATTAAATATTTGATAATGAATCCTAATGACATGACATTACTAATTAATGAAAAATTGACAAAGTTATATATAATCACCAAACAAGTCTAATAAACAATTAATCACAACAATTTGGGAGCTCATTACTAATAGTATCAATAATGATAATGTTGTGAATTAATGATATTGTGAATCATTAGTGTAGATGTTGTAAATCAATGATTCATTCATAAACTTTGATTATGGAGAAAGTTATGGGAAGAAAGAGAAAGAGAATAATCAATTATTAATATTAATTATATTTGCAATACCCTATTTATCATCAACTACTTATTAACTACTAGCGCCTTATTAACTACCTAATCCACTATCAACCAATAGAATGGATTAAGCAATATGCTTAACCTTTTGGGGTTAAGCACAGGAACCCAGACCAAGATCAGGTGACTAAGGGAGTCTTTTAGTCACATGGCTAAGTGATTTTTAATCATTCAATCTCATTAAAATCTAATGGTTCTAATTAATCTAATTTAATAAAGAACAATATAGTAATTAATTTTTTATATTTTATTTTCAATTATAAACTAAATAAAAAATCCTCCACAGGTTTCCGTCTTTCTCTTCCCGCCGGCCTGGAATTTTCCCAACGTCGTCGTTCTCGTCCGGTCTCTTCTCGTCGGCCAAGGATCCGGTGTCCCGTTCCTGTCCCAGGTCGGCGGTCCATTATGCCATTTGCTGGGGAATTTCCCCCTCCCTCCCATGTGTGAGAGAGAGAGAGAGAGAGAGAGAGAGAGAGAGAGAGAGAGAGAGAGAGATTTCCAACGATCAGCGGCAGTGGATTTTCCGGCAACCAGAGACGGCGAAGGTGGATTTTTCGACGACAATGATGGATTCATGATATTTGTCGACCTATTCTGTAATATTTATAAGTCGAGTTTTTAATGTTTATATCAATTGGGTTTGTACTGTTTATCATTCTAGTTTATTATTTTTGTCTATTGTGTTTGTAATGTTTATATGACTAATTTGTATATATTTTGATTTATAATATTTGTTACTCTAGTTTGTATACTTTATGTTGCCGATTTGTATTGTAAGTAGTATTATTTTGTACTTTTAGTATGCTTTGTAATGTTTGTCGGTTTATTCTATAATGTTTGTAAACTTTGTTGTTTTTGTAATGTTTATCGGTTTCTTTTGTAATGTTTGTAAGCTTTGTTATTTTTCACCACTTTTGTCATTTTTGTCAATCAGGTTGACTTTTGGATGGAACTCCTCTATATAGAAATGGAGTCTCCAAAGTCAACTCGGGTGTTTTTCCATTTTGTATAGTTTGTTGGTCTAGTTTGTCATTTTTGTCCATCATGTTTGTAATGTTTATATGTCTAAAAAATAACTGGGTTGACTTTGGGATGGAGCCCCTCTATATAGGGATGGAGTCTCCAAAGTCAACCCAGTTGTTTTTTCATTTTTTATGGTTTGTATTGTTTGTCGGTCTAGTTTGTATTATTTGTACAGTTCATATGTTTTGTATTGTTTATAAATCTGTTTGTATGTTTTGTCGTTTTAGTTTGTAATGTTTGTATTTTTTGTACTGTTTGTAAGTCCGGTTTGTATACTTCGTAATTTTTCATAATACCCAAATACCCTATCACTAAATTAAAAGTTCTTCGCATTTTTAACCGTTAGATTAGTATGTACAGATCTAAGAGCTATGAGGGGCTTAGCCAAGTGACTAAGCACCCACCTTAGTCACCTGATCCTTACTCCAAGGGGCTGCCCGGCAATAGTTTGTAACTTTGTATAGACTGTGGACTATGGACGTGAGATCTCAAGGCTTCTTTCCATGTAAATAGACGTGAAAATAGGTAAGGTGTTAAATATCGAGTGTGATATTGGACTACAATGTCGTATTGGATCGATATCTTTTCGTGAGAGCCTAATTACTTGCCTTAGGTGTTCTATTTTGTCGGATGCAGTCTCCCTCCGGGTTGTTTATGCTAAGTGAGTTTGGATAACTTGAATAGGGAGTTCAAGTGAATTTAAGACTCTTCGTGATATAAATCTTGAGTGGGTAAGATAGGAACGTCAACATCTATCCGGTTAGCGGCTAGGGGGAATCATTTATAAAGTTTTCGAACCCTAGGACCTCTAGATCTATTGTTACTTCCCTAGTGTTTGTTATATGAATAAAATATGAAGATTATACATTAGAATCGAGGGCTACCAACAAGGTTTTCTTGAATGAATGGCTACGGCTAGTGGTATGTTTGGCATAGTTTAATATCAAAATGATAACATTTATTGTTATGAAAATATTATTATTCTTATGGACGACCAACATTAGATGCTCCATAGTATGTTACAAATTCTATATAACTCCTCTCCTTATATTTATTTCTCCTTATGACACATTACTCCCATTTATGTGTATTGATGTTAGAGTTGTAGGAGTTATGTATTTGTGCCTATAAATAGAGCACACAAATGTACTAAGATAGATGAATAAGAAAAGCTCTATTCCCCTCTCTTCTTGTGTCTCTACTCATACTCTTATGTATGTTCCTCTTCCTTGTTATTTCATAACACGTTATCAGCACGAAACTCTGTCAAAGTAATGGTTGGTCATTGTCTCTCTACATAATCAAATATACTTGAGTAAGATCACACACGATCAATGTATGCAAATTTTCATGCCATTTCTAGTTAGTATGTTTATCTATCTCATTGTATTTGAGAGATTATTTGATCATGTTATTTGTTCATATTATTTTATGAACTTATTTATATATGTTGATCTCGTAACATAAAGTTTGTGCTTGGACATTATCAGATAATGAAAATTGCTCTTGTAGTAGCAAAATCATTATGGGTTGACTTATCGATTGCTACATTGGACATATAGAGAAATGAAAATCTATATGTGCTCCTGAAGTAACAATATTATCGTAGAGGTTTTATAAAGTGTAAGTTAATCTCTTGTTTGTTAAAGCTGAAAAGTGTATTGGACTTGTGATGAGAAATATTATATAATTTGATCCAAAGGCTGTTGTTTCATTCCCGAAAGCGAATGAAACAAACCATTCTGAAAAGTGAATGCCGTGAGACACACCATTATATAAATATAATTTGGTGTTTGAATAAGGACAATCAACAAATTTATCTTTTCACCGGAAGTGAAAGATAAAATGATTATAAATGAGGATGACCAACAATTCATGTAGCAAAAGTCATGATCATATATCGTAACCTTCGTATGTCAAATGTGTTATGAAACACATATATGTTATTATTATTATTATTATTATTATTATTATTATTATTATTATTATTATTTATGTTTTTGTATAGAATGAATATTCGCGAAAGTGAGTACTGGTATTATATCATATAGTATGAAAGTAAGCAAAAGCTCCAGAAGAGATTGTGTTTTGTTACTTGAAGTAACTAAACAATATATTGGTAATATTTGTAGACACCACATTTTGTCCGGACAAGCATTCTACTCAAAATCCTAAAGCAAAAAATATAAAGAAAAATTAGAAAGAAAATTAGAAGTAAATTGATTGAGAATAGCAATGATGGGTCAATGAGTACCAATAAATATCAAATTCTCTTTCTAGTATCATATGAGTTGAGACTAGCATTGGCAAGTGATGAACACTCAATAATTACCAACCTAACTTATGCTAAGGTTGATTTAGTTAAGACATAATCGATTTAGTAAAGATTAGCAGTGACAATTCTTAAATACCAAATGGACAATTGGATGAAAGAAATAATAATGGTTAGAAGTATGAATGTTTGCATTAAGGTGTAAGGTCAAGGTCTAATAGGTGAAATGAGACAAGAGAATAGAGGCATAAAAAAAGGAAAAAAGAGAGTTTTATTATTAGAGTTATTTCATTGTACGACACAAGGATAATGACGCTAAACAAAGGAAGATTTCAAGTTCATTACAATCTGATAATAAAAAAGAGATGAAACTCATTACAACCAATCAGATAAGCCTATTTTAATCGAGGTCACTTTTTCTCCTGCCTCTGGGCCCAAACGAGATTAGCAACCTACATAATAAAAGCAGATCAGTTAGTAGAGACTCAGCTAAAGCCCAAGTCCAAGCCCAAACTCAGATTCAAAGTATGGCCCAAGGTTCAAAACATGCTAATTCTAGCCCATAGTTCGGGCCCAGATGTGAAGAAACCAAATCGGGCGCAACTCGGCCTAACTCGGCCCAACCATAACCGATCCAGACCAATTCAGTCTGACCATATCTTATCTAGCCGACCTCAACAGGAGGGCACACTTTTCAAAGTCGGAATAAAGAAATGCTCGAATCAGAGAGCTACATGTGGCAGTTTGGTTTGCTTTAAAAGAGCTACTTTAGGAGCTCAGATATCGTCCACCACTTGGGTTTTGGAGAACGGATCAGCCAATGGCCCAGATCTGTTGCACACGCAATGGACGTCCCGGATCCGTTGATCACTTTAGTTAGTGGACCGTGGGACTGAATGACTAAACGACTATACCATGTGTCTGATTTGTCTCCCCACGCGCCAGAGAAAGAGGGAGATCCAAATGTCTATCGTTTCCAAAATTTTGAAACTGAAAATTTCTTTTAGAACTTCTAATTTAAATCCCTAATTTCCTAAATTTGAACCAAATCCAAAATTCAAAATTTGAAACCAAAATTTGAATTTTGAGCGATTGACGATAAGTTTTAGATTTCCCTGATTCACTACATCCATTCGCTCTCTCTGTCTCTCTACCCCCTGTTTCTCTCCATCTCATGTAGATCGTTCATCTTCCTCCGCTCCGTCGTCCGTCTCTGCACTGCCGCCTCATTCTCTCTACCTCTACCGCTTGTCTCCCTACATCCCATGGAGATCCTCCTTCGCTCCGCCCTCTCGCCAGTCGTTGTTGGTCCGGCGAGACTACTGACGCGGCCCGTATCCTCTGCCCTCCACCATATGTATCCATCGATCTCGAATCTTCAGGTAATTCATCCTCAGAACCTGATCTAGCAAGACAGATGTTATATTCCCCGATTTATGTGATTGATTTTTGGAAATTTTCTTCCTTTTCGTCTTCTCAATTTATATATATGTTTGGAATTATCTTCTCTAAAAATGAAAACCTCGGATGCTACCTTAAATATACATTTTATCTTTGCGGAATATATTTTAATGTCCGTTGGAATACATTTTCGTCATTATATTGTCATATATGGTTACCTTGCCAGTGCTATAATGCAACATTGCATGGCTAACCTTGTAGAACCCATGAGAAAGCACAATAGCATTATGGCCCATAGTATGGGCAATGTCAACCTTTTCCAATCAAAATGTCCCCAAAGTGGACATGTGAAACTAGTCCACTTAGTTTCTGGAGTCGTTTGTTACTTCTTCTTTTCACTGACGACCTTTGCTCTTAGGTCATAGCTTCCTTTGTTTTTCTCTGCCTTTGAGTAAAGTTCTGGAAGCAAGATGTTTTGCTCATGCATCAAGATCCTTGCCGCAATTCTTGCTCGTATGAAGTTTAGTTGGTCTCGATCTTCCCACAATTTTTTTTGCTCTTCTGTGTAGTGTCCCTCATATTGTTCCATGAAGTTGCAGCAGAACACACCGCAGTTGTGGGTATCTTGCTGCTGTGGACAATCTAGAACTTCCCATTCAAAGCTTTTGAAACTCTCCTTTCCATTAAGTTTTTTGATGAAGGTGGTCCCATAGGTAATAACCCTCTAGCTGAGTGTTTGGCATTTGGTTTGGAGACTATCTTTGTATGCCATGTTGTCCAAGCACACATACTTCCGTCTCACTATGTCAATAGCGAAGCAGAAATAGTGTTTGTCAATATGCACTTGGAAGAAGAACTGAAGCAAGGTATCAACATTATGGTTAGAGTCATGTTCATAGCTAGTTAGTAATATCTGACAAGGCAACATGGTTTCTCATAGTGTACTCACGTATGCACAGTCAGCGAAGTCCGCCTCGGTCAAGGACGGGGTACATTTGAACCGTTTCATCATTCTCTCACAATGCTTTGCTAGAAGTGGCTCGTCGGAGATGGCCTCACTTTCCAGGTATTTCCTTGCATGATCCTGTAGAGAAATACAGAGGCCATCGAATGAGTTCAGTTATAATCTAAAGTTGTTGCTAATTTGGATTAAATCTGTACAGTTTCCTACAGCTACAAATGTATCGAAACAGTATCTCGTGATTTTTTTGTTTTCTGCCACATTGTTGGAGTTTAGCCAGTGGGCATAGGCATTGATGAAATTTGTGCACAATTCTTTTTTCAGCCTCAGATGATACAACTCCCACTTCATGACAGTTGACATTGCGGACTTATGCACAACTACATCTCTTCAAAGGGCATTCGTTTGTAAGATGGGTTAGCATTTGACAACTGCGAATTAATCCTTGCACATATCAACAAATAGTACTGCTACTGACCGTTCTTGTTCAAAGTCCGACAAAGCGAACTCGACCAAAAGAACTTCTTCACTAGTCATCCTACTCTTTGTTTCCTTGGCAACCTAGATTCCACTCGACGCCATCTTCCAATCCTACTATCCCCCTCGAACTTGTAATCTTCTATGTCTTGTCCATAGTTTTGATATGTCTCGACATCAACCATTTTTTCTTGACCTGAAATGCCAAAAGTTCTCGAAAAGAAAGAATAGTCTAACATAGCATTCCCATGTTCATGTCATAATGTGATAAAGTGTATGTAACACCCTGGTATTTTAGATTTAGGTTCGACCTTACTACGTGATCGGTTGGATTGACGGTTACATACAAAGAGTTACAACCGCGGATTAAGAATAATAATATTATAACATTATTATAATATTATTATTATTACTTTATTCTTTAAAAAAAACCAATAACTCGCCCAAGGGGCTGAGCGGCCCACTCCCCCCCTCCCCATATTATTTCCCCGCAGGAAAAAAAATCTTTCCCCATCAGGTTTCCCCAACAACGACGCGGAGAAGAAAGAAGAAGAAGAAGAAAAAAAAAGGGAAGAAGAAAAGGAGTCGCCGCCTCCTTGTTCTCGACCCCGACCCCATCCCTTTCTATCTAGCAGTGACGTTGAGGGTTCGATCAGCAAGGAGATCAACGTCCTAGGTCATCCAACCTAGGCCTAGGCACGTTCTAGAGGTAAGGAAACTCGATTCCTTTGAGTTAGATCGATTAATTTGGTGATTTTTCGTGAGGGTAGAATTCTTGGGTTTTAGCAACAGGCTTTACAGGCTTTTAGTGACAGATTTTGATTGGTCACTAAAGCTGCTGAGAATTTCCAGAAACGGATTTTTAGATGTTTTAAATTGTTTCAAGCCTCTCTGAAGGGTTTTTTCTAGATCTAACAATTTTATAAATTGTGCGACGTCTAGGAGATGGTTGTAATCTAATTTGGTAATTTTTGAAGATGTATTTCTAGTTTTAGAAATTGTTCGAATATATTTTTTAATTAAATAAAAATCTTTCCGGGGGTTTTTTAAGGGTTTGATAATTTTCCAGGGTATAGAGGCTCAGGATTGACATGGGAAAATTATTATCCAAAATTTTAAGAAGGTTCTGAAAATTCATCCAAGACTAAAATAATTAAGAAAAATGGTCGTTTTTTAAGGGATTAATTTTAGAAAATTTTAATGGGGGTTAAAGGACCCTTGGAATGAGGTGCAAGGACTGGAGTTTGAGGAGAGGATGTTCTAGTGATTCAAAATGGGGTTTTAAATCAAGAAAGGTCGTCTAAGAAAATGGATTCTTATTAATAGGTTTCCCCAAGATAATCCGGCTAAGGAGGGCTTTCTTCGAGGAAGGAATTGAGGAGTCATCTTTTCGAGGTGAGTGTAAAGGGGGTAAAATCTCTGTCGAGGTCTTTTAGTTCATGTCTTTTAATTCAGTTATTATTTAGTTAATTTTCTACTATGCGTGATATGTGTGTGAGGCATCCCACCGCCTATAAGGGTGGGGGCACGCGTTGTGCTATGTATGAATGTATGTGATGTTGTATGGTTGATGGTATGAGGAACCCCCAGGCGGTTGGGCCACTACTGGACGCGGTAGATGGTCGGATCACTGCTGGACGGCGAAACGTAACGCAACAGTTGATCGAGTATGTTGTGGTCACTACTGGACGGCGAGACGTAACGCAGTAGTTGACGGGCATGGACTGGACGGCGAGACGTAACGCAGTTCCATTGCCGAGTTTGGGTATGCAACCGGACGGCGAGACGTAACGCGATTGACATACTAGGGTAGGACACCGGACGACGAGACGTAACACGGTGGTCCTAGTGTTTTGTGTTCAGATACGGATAGAGGGAGATAAGGATAGAGGTCGAGAACTTTTATGAGTTAATGTTGAAATGAGTTGATAAGAATGGTTATTTAAGAGCAGAAAGCGAGAACGACTTTCATGCTAGGAAGGCATTCCCCTAATAATGTGTTTAGTAAGGAGTTTGCCTAGGGCAAATACCTTAGGGAGTAACGACGAGACTGGCCCCTTCTCACTCACCAGGTGCATAGAGGGGAAGAGGACGCATCCATCATGAGGAGATTACCCGAGGAGAGCAGTCGCGGCTAACCTGAAGATGTCAACTGGATCTGGGTAACGAGATGGGACCTCCCATTATATCTGTCTTTAGTTTCATGTCTTAATGAGTATAGTGGGAAACTCAAGGATTGTGTTTTATGTTTTGTTGCTCTGGATTGAGGTCGCCCAAGTGTTTAGAGCATTTCATTTGAAAATCTTAAACATTGTGGTTGTTGTCTTTGGTTTTGACTTGTAAACCTGGTTTGGGTTGCTCCGGAGTAACCGGTTTGTGGTTTGAGTTGTGGTTTGGTTTTCAAAAAGAGCGGGTCGTGTCATTTTGGTATCAGAGCCGACATTCTTCTGTTTCTTGGTCTCCAAGGAATACTGGCGTGACGATCTGGGTTTTCAAAGGTTTAGTTTTAAAGAAAAAAGGGGGAACTTTCAAGAAAAATGGTTGGCCAACCCATGTGAAAAGGTTTATAGAGTCCCCAGACCCCAGTATACTCAAGCATGATAAGACATTAAGGTGGTTCTAATCAGGGTACTACTTACTTGCAGAGCAAGTAACACCAATGTTAACCGCGCGGCAGTTAGGCAACCCCCGAATTATGAGGCTTTCCGGAAGTGAGGTGTGGTTGATTTTGATGGGGACCGCTCGAAGGATGCTAGTGAAGTAGAGAAATGGTTGGCGAAGGTCTCGCGCACATTGACTGAAATGAGGGCAGATGATGAGGATCGGGTGCTACTGAAAGTATCCCTGTTCCATGGGCTCCCCCACAACGCTAGTAGATTACCACTAGGAAATGGTAGTCTCCTTTGGGAAATTTTTTAATTTTTCCTGCTTTGTATTCAGCCAGTCCTTCCCTCAACTTTTGAGATACAAAACCTGACCAGTTATACCTTCGTTTGTTGATAGGGTCGCCAACCAAACATTCTGAATTTTTTTTTTACATCCACCATGTCATTGCTTGTTGGAGCAAGCAGCGTCCCTATCGGATACAGGCAGAACAAATTCACGAACCTCCTAGGGTCCGTACAAGATAGCAAACATCCTTTTATATCGGACAAATAAACAGAACCACCACTACTACCACTCAAATCTAAATCACTCAACAACAATCTTAGTCTATCTTTGTGGCATTCCTTACCCGTGACCTCTATCTCACCTTTTGGAAACTGATAAACCCTATGCACGTCTTCCTCGCCAAATCCCAATAGCTTACCTTCCCCCAAGTCGAAAATTCCACTGGATGGATCGTACAACATGATGAGATATGAAACAATGTCGTGGTCGACCACACTAATTGCCACCTCAAGGATTCCGCTCAGGCCGGCCCTATCCAGTTGGCTATTGATACCTGCTAGATTAGCTCCTTTCTTGTAGAGTTGCGCTCGTATTTTTTGTATACCATTGGTTCTGCAGCGAAACTGGAACTTTTCCGTCTCTTTGCTTATATTCTCCCTATCGACTTTCTTGCCCGATTCAATCTTTTCTCGCTTCCCTGATCTTGCAATTTGTTTGCGTCAGTGCTGCGTATTTTCCTTCGCTTCCTCATATCTGGAGATCTCGACCGGCTCCTACTATCCGCTTCATCGTTCTTCCTTTTCTTTGACACTGTCTTGTTGACCTTGTGATTCCGCGTTTTCAACTTCGGCATGAATGGATAGTATTTTGTATTTAGAGATCTTTGCTGTTTCGTTTTGCTCGGCTGTCGATTTAGAATAGGCGGAGGCCAGAGAAATTTTCGTGATTGTTTGAATATGGTTTGTCGGAAGATATGAAGTCTTTCATCGAGTTAGGGATTTTGAATTTGTGTTTATCAGGAGTAAACGTGAGAGTACAGTAAATTAAATGGGCCTGTGTTTGAACCTAAAGTCCAATTGCAAAGGATGGTCCACTTCTTTTTTCTATTAATTTGGTAATCTACTGTTTGGCTGGATACTGGACTGGACTAGCACCATGGGCCAACCAATTAATCGGATCTGGACTTTACAGTAGTAGTATTTATAAAAAAATTCAGGTATATCTAAAATGTAAAAATCCATTTTGTTTAGGCAAAATACACTTATATATTCATAACTTTCACGTTTGTGACAAATATATCCATAACTATCGAAATACACGAAATACCCAGAAAAGCGTACTATTGTGCGACAAATCCATCAATTTCTGTTACAAACTTTAACGTCGTTTGTTACGACGTCAGTAAATGTGACGAAACGCTGACGATGACCATACCCATCCCACACCTAAGCTCTAGGTCAGCAAAATCTGACATGTGGACGCCATGTCAGCAATAAAAAATAAAAACAATTCTCTCAGTCACATTGATTTCTTCTGTCTCCCGTGGCGATCTAAAAAAAAACCCATCTTTAGAAAACGCCGACGACAAAGAAGAATAATCAGGTAATAATAGTTCTGGAACCTAATCAAATCAGATCCCCATTACTCCTCCTAAACCTAATAATCAGATCCCCCATTACTCCTCCTAAACCTAATAATAGTTATGGAAAGAAACTTGAATCTCGAAAAACTGAAATCAAATCAACCAAAGAAAAATAGAAGGAGAGAGGATGAGTATTTGGGTAAAAAAATGTACTGGACGAATTGCGTCCCTGTGCTTCTGAGCTTTCCCGTCGCAAACCAGATCCTTCCCCCTGCTGCCCGTACCCAACCTCGAATAGTAGCATTCAACATCAAACAAGAGGACGAAATGGGGAAATTGGGTTCTGGGGATTTTGAGAAGAAGTTGGCTCTTCCCCTGCCAACTGCTACCACTGAGAAGAAGCTTATTATGGAAAAGAGATCTGGATCCGCAACCGCCAGCGGAAGCTCTTCACCACATCAATTTCGAGCATCTATTGAACTTCAAAACCATGGGTCTGGACTTTGATTGCTTGTACGATTTGACGGGGCAGAGAAAGAAGAATTAGAAATGGTTTCGGGGGCGATCTGCTTCCTGGGAATTTCATAGGTGATACTTGCTGCCAGATTCCCGATGTCGCCTAGAGCTCGCCTGGCGGGTTGACCGGCAGTTATGGATCCGGGTTGAAGGTTGGGAGAGAGATTGATGGGGGATTCAAAGAAGAAGTGGGAGATCGGAGGTTGGGACTGAGATGCAGAGAAGAAGGAGGGTAAATCAGAGGTTGGAAGAGAGATTGATGGGGAGATTCAAAGAAGAAGGGAGAAGATGGGAAGGCGTTCTTCCGGGAGGAGTAGCGGCGGGGAACGGAAGAAAAGGGTTTAGTCCCGTCTCTTTCTGTTTTTTTTTTTGTATTTTAATTTTTGTTATTTTTGTTTCTTTATAATCCACGTCATTTGGTGGGGTAAATCAATCGCCAACTCAGCTTCTACCGTTAGTCTAGTTATACCGTCAACTGACGCCGTTAACAAAATGGACGGAATTGGTTATTTTGTGTTTTCGAATAGTTATGGATATATTTGTCACAAGTGTGAAAGTTATGGCTATACAAGTGTATTTTGCCTTTTGTTTATTTTGTTTCTTTCACATGGTTTTTAATCTCATACTAAAACAATATTTAAATTTTTTGGACGTGTCATACTAGAATAGTTCCTTTAACTTTTTCTTCTTAACTATCCATTGATGATGAATGTTTAATGTTCTTAATGATAATCATATTCATTATACATAAATATCATATTCTTGCCATAAATATAATATTTTATCATTTCGAATACATATTTACTGAGTACATATGCCTTAATGGAAATTAATAAAGTGCTTGATAGCAACAAAAAAAAAAATCAAACGTTCTAGATACGTCACACTTCCAATGTTTAGATGGGAGTGCTATGTATCTGCAAAAACTTATCCAAAAGAAACAAACAATCACTTAGGATAACATATAGCATACATAGCAACTAATGCTAAACACATCGTGGATAATTGAACCTGGAACATTTAACCTATAAAATACTAATAGATAAAGACAGTGCTTTTTTTAGAGCAAGGGTTCTGGTAATCGATAATTAGAACAACTAGGCACCGCTTCTTCCACACCATTCACGACCCTCTGGTTCATCATCCTTGGTAGAGGCCCATAGCCCGTACCCTGCTTCCCTATCTTCTTCGTCAGACAACATTTTAGCGGTCATGTTCCATGGGTGAGCTTTTACAATTTTCCTATTTCTCACGTCGCCCAAGCATTCAAAGTAGCCGCACCCGGGTTCGAAGAGTTTTGGATGAGCAGTCTGCACGTACAAATGTAGTTGGTATGTTACTTACAAAAATAAACAAAATGTAAGAGCATCGTGGGGAAAGCTAGTACCTCGTAATAATTCCAGTAGCACCCAAAGTAAAGCGGGCAACCGTCAGTGGTGTTTGGCAACTTACACCCACTCGCTCGCAGGCCGCAAAAACATATGATGTCGGGATCGTCATTGTAGCTGAAGGCATCGCACTCTCGGCCAAGAAGTGGAATCAAGGGGGCGTTGGGAAAGTAAGTAATGGGATACATTGGTGAGGGAAGGATGATCCCGTTATGTGAAGGAAAGCTTTTGTGGATAAAAGTGTAAGCGTTTGTGGAACAACTCAACCCATTTAAAGTGTCCCAGTGAAGGAAACTTCCTGTCATAATTTATTAACATATTATTTTAATATTTGAAAGGTTAAAATTATATATTCACCTGTTGCACTAATTAGTACACTTTGTAGCGTTGAGCCATTAATTCCTGAAATGAAAGCATTGGTACTGCCAACCAATTGCGATTGAGGTCGTTTTACCATCACAGAGCAACAAAGCTATCCTCATATATCAAATCCACATGAGGCGTACCCATCCTGCAAAATAATACACACCCTCTGAGATGATAGAGGAAACAAGGAGGTAGGAAGTAGAAGAAAATGAAAGGGGAACAAATAGATCTCCTCATTTATATGAGGAGGACAGACTTAGCTACGCTCAACAGGACAATGATATCGAAGGAGTAAGAGTTGAAGGGGGAGGAGAAGATCACTTAAATTCACATGGCCCGTATGTATCTGCCGAAGTCGACCATCCAGTGGAACTATAGGAAGTAGCAGAAACTGTAAATGGACCGAATAGATTGACTCAGTTATATCAAGAGGACAGACTCAGCTATGCTGGGCGGGACAATGATGTCGGAAATGGGATGGGCAACCGGTTTGGTAAACCCAAACCGAACCCGACCGAATCCGACCAAACCGAATTCAAACCGAAATATTATTGTTCGGTTCGGAATTCGGAAGAAGAATAAGTATACTTCGGAAACCAGGTTACTCTCAACCGAAACCAAATTCTGATCACCGAACCGAAAACCGATTTCACATAACCACCCACATATCAGACCTCACCCCCTCATGCCTTATAGCCTTACCTCAACTGGGCCTCGGCCCAAACATCTCACCCACACATAGCCCACACTCTCTGCTAACCCTAGGAAAATAAAGAAAGAAACATGCAGTAGGAAAGCTCTCCAACGGCCGCCGCTCTCCTACCCTCTTGCTCCGTCACCTCTCATTTCAGCCTCTTGCTCGTTGCTCCTAGATTCTTCTCCTTTCCATTCTCTTCATTCACTTGTCCTCGCCCTCCATTTAAAGTTTAAACCCACAAATTAACAAAACAACAAAAGCTTAGATTAGCAAGCCTAGAAAAAAATCGAAGCAAACAAAAAGACGAACAATGTTGAATCAAACTTACCCAGGAGGAGAGATCCGGATCTGCTCCTGCTGATCGTGGCTGCGCATGTGTCGTCGGTGGCCTCTGCCGCCTTTACCCTCCCCTCCCGTTGTCCATCTCCATCACCATCCTTCGTTCCTCCATGAGAAATACCACATGCATCAGAGGGAGAAGGAATAGGTCATGAGGGTCTGAGGAGGGGAACTGAAGACCCTTTTCTGAAAGGAGAAAGCGAAGAAGAAGGAAAATCGAGGAGGTGGGATGGGAAAGAGTCTCAGAGACGGAGGAGCCATCGCCGCTGTTGCGTTGTGATATGCATCAAGAGAGAGAAAGAGATTAATTTGAGGATCTGATTATTCTGAGGAGAAAAGGGAAACGGGAAGATAAGATAAGCAGGGGAGAGAGATTCGCTTTATATATATATTCTCGGTTATGGTCTTAAAACCCAACCAAACCGAGTTGTAATTCAGTTCGGATGTACCAAATCGAATTATAGCTCAGTTCGAATTCGGTTGGGGTGCTGGTTAAATCTAAAATTCGGCATGTCCTAGTTCGGTTCGGTTTAAACCGAACCGACCGAATGCCCACCCCTAGTCGGAAGTGTAAGTGATGAAGGGAGACGTGAAGGCCTTTTACATTCACATGGCCCGATGGATCAGTGTTGGAGGTTTTGCTGAAGAAGGTGATGAAGACGTTGATATGGGATGTCCATCTAGTACAACCATTGTCGAAACAGAACAAGACGAAGGTCGGACAAGCTCTGCATTTCAGGTGAAATATAAAAGACAGCGCAAGGCAATAAAATGGACAACTGAACAATACCATGTGGGTAGGATGGCCAAAGAGAAGATAGCGGCGGAGTGCATGACGTTGGTTAAGTTTTCCATGGCTGAAGGGGACGATGACTCGTGAGTTTTTGTTAATGCTGCAATTGTGCTTGTTAACTTTACCAATCCAATGCGCCAATTACTAACTAGTTGGTACAGGGACGTTGTATTACACCAGTCCGACATGTATATCGTGCTTAAGTCGGAATTGCAGTCATTGCGGCTAGATGTCCACGTCGGAAGAAACATTGTGGACGCGTTTGCACATTATCTCAACTTGGCCACCATGCGTAAGGATGCAAAGTTAACGCGACACTGATTTGACACACTCGTTGCAGTAAGTCTAATAAACAACCTTGGAACTAAATGGTTTGCTAGTGCACTACTTAGCAATGATGTAATTTCTGGAAGTGTCCAATCAGGCTTATGCTTTGAAAGCTATGGAATTGGGTTTATGTGATGACAAAGAGTCATGGATGAACCTAGCAGCATCCGTTCGTCAACATTTTACTGCTAACCCATTGCTTTCGAATGCTGATTTTGCAGACTGTGAATATGTGAGTTACCAATGCTGGTCTTAGTATAAATTCTGAATGCCTATCCCATTGTGGTTTTTCCAAGCTCTCACGATGTATATCATTGTGTGTGATGCAATTCTTCTTCCCGGTCCAACTGGACAAGCATTACATATGTTTGGTCATTGACGTGAAGAAGCGGTGCTATGTTTGCCTCGACAGCCTTGTCGGCCATCTGTCATTCGAAAATGAAGAGCTACCAATCGCTATTTGACAGTCAAAGCAGGTAGGACATTCATCAAGGATATGAACCCAACAATGTCTTTCAGCGGTTTCGACTGGGAGGTAGCTGACGCTCCCAAACATGAAGATGTTGCCAACACAGATCTATTCTACTGCTTGTTCATGGAACATTACAACGGATACTTCATGGGCAGACAAAGTTGTAGCTTCGTTAAATCGGGCAAACATTGCTGGTCGTATATTGATGCACGAAAACAACACCAAACTAGATTGATTGAAGACCAGGTCGCAGCAGTGGTTGGACAACATGGATCGAAAATTGAAACCCAAGGGTGGAAAGAAGAGATCGTTGAAGGAAATTGAAGCCACATTAAAAGGATGAAGGGAGGATTACATTTTGTGCTCACATTTGGAACAGTGTGTTGGAAAGAATGTTATGTTTTGGTCAAGGGAAGTCTAGAGAGAGGAATCTATTTAAAGAGGATAAACTTATACTTATTGCTATAACATTGAAAGGGAAAAAAAACGTTCTGTATATAAAGTCTTCAAATGTAATGACAGTAATATGCAAAATGACCTTCATGAATATCATATTCTCATAATTTTACTATCATATTCTCAACATGAATATAATTTTCTCTATCAGTGAATATAAAATAAGTAAGGACTTTACGCAACATTTGGATAATCATGAAGGGCGATGAACAACATAAGCTAATTAAATATTACATCACGAAACTGATTAGAAGGTACGACAAAGAGGTTGTCCATCAAACAGACAAATATTTGGTACATGTAGAACAAGATTAAGAATGGAAAAATTACATAATACACTACTTCTTGTTAGCACTAGTCTGAACAAGATACACAAACTACCTATAACTAGTTAATGGTTAAGCGACTAATCATGATGGCTACGGTAGACGATTCTCCTCATACTACATCAACATCCACAGTTACGAAACAATCCTGAGTCCCAGTATTCGATTGTTGCTGTGAATTACCATTGTCACCTTGAGTTTGGAGTTCATTAAGAAGGTGATGGTTGTCCTACTCCAGAATAGCAACTCACTGTTCCAGCTCGGGGATCCTTTGCTTATAAAGCTTGATGTCTTGAAGGCTGCGGAGGTCACACCATTCGAAGTAATTGCACCACTTTCCAAACTGGAATGCGTGTTTACACGCCACAAGACAAATAACAGATAAATGCTTACGTAAGGATTAATTATAGTGATAAGAAAATACAAAACCTAATCAATGGTCAAAAACTACTAAACAACAAAACACAATTATGCTCAAGAATTAATTAACATACCGGGGAATGTAACAAACTAATAAACCGAGAACCATATACACCACTTGTGTGAACAGGCACTCAATTGAAACATGATATGACAACATTTTCCAAATCATTATGCAATTGCTTCCTACAAAACAAACTATATGCCAAAATAAAACTCCAAAACAAAATAAACCTATCAATAACCATGATAACTAAAGTCAACTTTGTTCAACCAAGGAAGGCTGAGACGATGAAGCATATTGGCTTTCTTGACTCATTAAACGGGGGTTGCTAATTCCTAAATCAAATGAAAGCTGGCTTAAGATCCTCCTCCTGTTGGCCACTGACACGCTAAAACACAACACCAAACTGCAACCAAGTGTAATCGCAGTCCGGAAATGCAGTAACAGGCAAGCTTTATTTGTCAACCTGGGGTCTAGATCTACTGCCTACTCCGTGAATATCTATTATCTAGCAAACTAAGTTGAGTGATTGTGATTTTAACTAAAAGTAGTAAGAAAGCAGAAAATGGTTCGGTTTTCTAAAGCAAGGGAAGAGTCATTCGAGAATGAGTCCCCCTAGCTCCTTAGTTAGGTCACAGTTATAATTAATTTTGGTTCCTTTACTGCTGATTATACTACGGAAGATCCGACAGTAGCTTGGAATCTCTTAAGTTGACCAAGCACTCTCAGTCAAACTACCTGGCAGACGACTAGTCTTCACCGGGATAGAACGCTGAGGCAATGAACACAGAACTCCACTACTGGAATTAGATTCTAGTACAAAGCAGTGAATCGACTAACTCTCGTATAATCGATTCACTACTACCGATTGAAGAAGCTCTAACAACCTAATCAGATTCTATCTATCTCAGGTTGCATCAGAAATCAATAAAAGATTATCAGACTTCAATTGACGCAATCAAAACACTTCAATCAATTATAATCAAGCAATATCACAATCCAAACGTAATTACAATCAAGATTCCTAACACATGGAACTAGGGTTCTTCATAC